CTGGTTCCACCTTCTGCCCTCTGGTCCCGCCTCCTACTCGAGATGACCCCGCCCTTTTAGTGCCCTCCACCCCAGCCCCCGCTTGACCCTATACCCCCATCACAAGAGCCGCCCCTTCGCTTCTAATCCCGCTTTCTTCCCGTGGCCCCGCCCACTTCGAATCCGGCCCCTCATTCACAATTTCCCATCCCTCCTCCCTCCTTCTCCCCTAGGTCTCCGCTCTCTGGCGCTCGGCTGGGCGCTCCACCCCCCAAAGAAGACCCGCCCACCGTGGCCCCACCCCTTCTGTCGCCCCGCCCACCCCGGCAGGCCCCGCCCCCTGCGGCCTCTACCTTTGGCGTCTTCCCCTGAGAGGTGGAGGATCTCGGCGGCCGAATCCCGGTGGGACTCTCGGTCTGGAGTCCCCGCGGGCCCCGCGGGGGGCAGCGAGGTGACAGTAAACTTACGGCTCATGGTGCGGAAAGGGCCCGGGCGGCCGCGGTACGGCCCGGATCGCACAAGTGGCCGCAGCCCGGCTCTGGGAGACAGAAAGAGCAGATTGCCCCCGTTCCCCGCCCGCCGCCCCCCGGACGCGGCGCCGCGCAGGGTCCTAGTGCCCGCTGTGCTAGCAATGTTCAGACATTTTTGGTGGTCACAACGGGAGGGAGGGAGGTACTGGCATCTAGCGGTAGAGGCCACTTGCACCACCCAGGCTCATACCAAGGCTGCCCGATTTACCACGAGCTCCCTGCACTCCACCACCTACCCTACATTGCAGCCCGTGGTAGGGGGAAGAGGACGGACCCTGAATGGGTCTGGCATCTGTCCATGGATCCAGCTACCTTCTAGAGAAAGACACCAAACATTTTACAGTCCCTCACAACAAAGAACTATCTGGCCCCAAATAGTGCGGAGGTTGAGAAACCGTGCTAGAATGAGGAGTATAACAGATTCCTAGATTATAGGGCTGACCAGGTTTTAAACATGATTGAAGGCAGATGATATTGTCTTTTATTAAGGTGGTGATGACTAATGCAAAGGCATGTTTAGAAGGTGGAGCCCAAGAGTTCAAGTCTGGAGCTCACATGAGAGGTTAAGGCTGGTGGCATAAATTTTGGAGTCTTTAGCACAGAGATGCTATTTAAAGCTTGCGGGGCTAGACAAGATCACAGGGAATGAGTATGCACAGAGAGGAGAAGAAGTCCAAGGATTGGGGACAAGGGCACGCTATCATTTAGAGGTTGGAAAGAGGAAAATCCAGTCAGTGAGGTGGGAGTAGGACCAGGAGTAAAGTGAAGAAAAATTTTCAGGCAGGACATGATCAACTGCGTTAAATGACCTGAGAGATGGTGTAGGATGAACACAGAGGAGCACAGAGGAGTCCCCACTGCATCTGGCTACAGGAAGATCAGAGGTGACTTTGAAGAGAGTGGTTTCAGTGCTGTAATGGGGTGCAAGCCAGGTTGGAAGTAGTTGACGGAACAGAAATTGGGGAAGTGGAGACAACGAATAGCAATGCATACTTTGGGGAAGTTTTACTATGGATGGGGGTGGAGAGCAGAGAAATGGAACGGTATCTAGAGAGAGTCAGAGGTCCAGAAGAATTTTAAACACGCCATATTAAGGAATTTTTTTTATGCCAATGGGTGTAGGTCATTCCTGAGCAAAAAATGAATGAGTTAAGAGACAAGGGCTCCACCCAGAGGTTGCTTCAGAGGAAGTCCTCCGAATCCTTTGTTAAATTCCCACTTGAGCCCCAGGTCCAGAAGATGATCAAATCTGCTGGAGCCCATTATCTCCACTCACCTGTCCCACCCTTCAGTCAAGTCTCTCTGCTATCCTGTGGGATCAAGTGCACACTCTTCAACCTAGCATTTAGATCTCTCGTCTAGTCCAGACCACCATTCCAATCTCGATCATTCCAGAATCCTCTTTGCTTCCCTCTCATCCATCTGTTAGAACCACACACTAGAGTTCTGAGCCATTTGTAGTTCCCCGAAACACTGCTTACTTTTTCTCTTCTCCCAGCATTTGCACCAAGTGCTTACGTTCAAATCCCACTGTCACCATTCACCAGCTGAGACTTCAGGTGAGCTGTGCCTCAGTTTTCTCATTTGTAAAATGGGGGGTATGATGGCAATAGTAATAATATTTATAAGGTAAGAGTAGTATCTGTCTCATAGGATTGTTTTAAGGATTAGCTATGTTAACACAGAGGAAGCACACGGAACAGTGCCTGGCATATAGTCTGTGGTGTACTAGGGGTAGGTAGCTACTATTGTTACCGAATGGAAAAGGGTCCACTACTCAGTGTGAAACAGAGCCAAACACTAAACACGGAGGTGGAGAAATTAAAGCAATTTATTGGCAGTGTGCCAAGCCAGGAGAACCGTGAGCTAGCAGGCAAAATCCAAACTCCCTGATGGTTTTTGATCAAGGGTTTTTAAAGGCAAAGATTGAGGGGTAGGGGTTAGAGGTCATGGGTGAAGCTGATTGTCTAGTTCTTGTGCAAGCCTCAGCGGTTTTCCTTAGTTCCTGACGTCATCTGGTCAGGTGATCTAAGCGGGTTGAAGAACCAAAATTCTGCAAAATATCTCGCAACTGCATCAGTGAGAATATCTTCAAAGCAAAAGGCAGAAACTAAACATCTTGTGACCTTTGTTATTGTTTAAGCTATATTGTTTTGTGCTTAACTAGCTACATTTTTCTATTACCTCAAGCAAAGTATACTTTTAAATATTTTTCCTGGAACTTGCTTTACAGGCAGGCCTCCAGGGCATGGCTAACATATTTTCTTGATCTTTGACTATAAGCTACTGGACAACCAAGGCAAGTGAAACATATAGTTAAAGCCTATACCTATATCTCTAGACTCTAGGATCTAATACCTAAACGTGTTTACTGTTAACTGTCGGTTTCACTATCATCATGCATGTAGTCGATATTGTATTTATCCACTGCCTTACCCCTGGCACTTAGGTTGTTGCCAATTTCTCACTGTATGAACAATACTGCAATCAACATCCTTCTTTGCGTTGTTTTGTGCACATGTGTATGAGGGTTAGAGAGTAGACACATTTTTAGGTTAATGGTTCTTGATAAATAACTCTCTTAGAAGACAGTCTTACTTGTACAGGAAGAAACCCTTGCTCATTTCCAGATTCAGTTCAAGTTCAGAAGTTATCTTGATTGGGGAACATCCCTTGACTTCAGCCATGACATACAGAATCACACACACACACACACACACACACACACACACACACACACACACACGCATCTTTAGTCTAGGATAGAGAGTCATATACTGCACACCTTCCAAGTGTAATCCCACCTACTCCCCCAGCCACAGAATCATTCCAATAACTGAGTGAGACTCTCTGCAAGTGGGGCCTGGAGTCTGCATTTTAAGCATCTTCTAAGGGTACTTTTACGCACTCTAAAGTGTGAAGACCACTGAGAGGTCCCTAAGGACAGAAACATAGTCCAATTCATCTCTATCCCCAGTGCCCAGCACAGGGCCTGGCTCCACATGGGGGTTCAATAAATGTCTGATGAATCGTTGGCCATTTCCTTGGCTGTAAAACAGGAATCATCACATTGTACTTTCCTAATAGAAAGAACTGAATATGTTAATATTTATGAAGTGCTTAGAATACTGGCATATAGTAAGCACTCTATTGGTTAAAAACATATATACACACATGCATATGTACGTGCCTGCATGCATGCATATACATATACAAATAAATCTCAAGATTAGAGATTCCAAGTTTATTAAACACATTCCAACAAAAAAGGAAGGTGGGACGAGAGGGCCCAGCCCAGCTCCACTTGTCCTTTGTCTTCCAGAACAGACCCACCAGTTTGTATCCGGCAAACTGGCTCCTTCCCCATCGAGGTGGCCCCTATGGGGACTCACACTGCAGTGCTGAAGCAGAATGGTGAGCCTTAGGCCTCAGGGCACTGTAGGAGATCAAAGGTCACGTAGCCCACTTCGTCCACCTGGCCCACCTCATTCTGGAAACTCATGCGCCAGTAGAATCGGTCCTGGCAGAAGTAAGCTTTCTCTGCAGGGGAGAGGCAGGTATAAGAGGGGTGATTCCAACTCTCCCACATATGCATACAGAAAGGAGCGAGATCTTTACAAGCATCCCTCCACCCCTTTCTAGATCTTTCCAAGGTTTTCACATGACACGCTGTCTCCCCCACAGAGATGCTGGAAGGCACAGGCCCAGATGTTCAAAGCACTGGCACAGAGCCTAGCACACAGTAGGTACTCATGACAATTAATTCAACATTTATTCATTCAATCAACAAATCAATTCATTCATTCAACAAATATTTACCATGCCAAACACTGTTAGAAGCACTGAGAAAAATTGCAGGTATGATCTAAGTTCCTTTGATGTTTATACTCTTGTGGGGTATGACAGATGATTAACAAGCAAACGCGTACATAAATGAGATTGGTTTTGACAATGCGGAGGAAATAAAAGCAAGTAAGTGAATAGATAATGAGGGTCAGAGAAGGCCTCTTTGAAAAGGTGGCTGTCATGTTGAGACTTGAAGGATGAGCAGGAGGCAGCCTGGTGACAATCTGGGGGGAAAAAACCTTCCAGGCAGAAGGAACAACTAACTGGCACAAAGGCCCTGAGTGAGGAATGACCTTGATGCGTTCAAAGAGCAGCCAGAAGGTCAGTGTGGGTGGCGGGAGCAGAAGGAATGACAGGAACAGTGGGAGGGAGTGTGGGGGAAAGGGTTGGATCATGTTAGTTTCTTTGACCTTAGAATAGGTCTAGAGTCACCCCCAAGACCATGGCCTTCCACTCCTAACCCCTCGTTACTCCAAGAAACTATATTAAAAATATTCGACAACCAGGATGGCTTGGACTAGGGTGTTTGCAAAAGAGATAGTGAAAGTACATATTTTGGCGGTAGAGTCAACAGAATTTGTCAACTGATTGGATGTGAGCAGATGGGGAAACTGAGGCTCTGCGAGTAGCAGTGACTTGCCTAGAGACACATGGCTACGAATTGCCTTATTTATCGCTAAATCCCCAGTGGCAGCACAGTGCCTGCCTGGCCCATTGTAGGCACTTGATAAATATTATCTAATAAAACAATGAGTCTTCATGTGTCCTGTATTGTAGGGGAAAGAGCTTCCAAGTACGGAGGCAGGAAATTTGGATCCTAGTTCTGGGTGTGCCCCTGTGTCTCTGTATGATTTGGGGAAGGTCACCGCCTTTGTAGGGAACTTATCTGTGCTCAGAGTTTGACCCATCTCTAGGTCAGGGGAGCCTAACGTGAGAAGAAGTGTCTGCGAGAGAGATCCTCCCCTAACCCCCGTCTGCAGCCCTCACCTCGGTACTGGAAGATGTCGTGCGTGTCCAAGGGCACCCCAGGGAACATCTGGTCCACAGGGCTGGCACTCTTGGGATCCACCATCTGCGTCTTCACGTCGAATCTGCAGGAAGGCGGCGAAGAGACAGGTGCTGAGCCGCGGAGCATACGGATGGCGCCCGGGCTCCCCCTCGGCGGGCTC